TAGAGAAGACTCATATTACTGATTTAGGGGTAGTCTCGAAACTCTACTTACATACGAGAAATAAGTAACGTAGTCGATTGTTATAGCAGAAATGCGTTTGACTCATCGACGATCCCATTAAAGAATGCGAAACGGGAAAAGGCCTAGCTTTTCTTGAAATTCATGTCTGCTCTGTGACCCAAAGATACTCGTACTAATGTGGCTGAAGGGTTAGCGTACCAAGCCCACATGCTGCATTAGCACGGTTCGAGTCCCGCTGGGGATGTTGATAAGACCCAGACGAGGCGAGGTCGAAAATGCAGTCCACTTCAGACTGGATGAGAAAAACTTTTTGGGAAGCAAAGCTATGCGAAATTCGATGTAAACGTCGGTTATACTCATTTCAATGTGGGAAAATTCTAATTCCAGTCCTTTATCACCTTAAACGAAATAGACTGAATACATCTCATATTAATTTGAAGAAGATTGTCTTAGAAATGGAGCCATCTAGAATGTTCCACTAAAGCCAAACCTTAGACAGCCAAACGGAATCTGCCATAGTTTTATGATGGGTTTGACTTTTGGATCACTCTATGACACTCTTCCAAACGAAATGGAACATAACTTAAAAATTATGCATCTTAACCCAGACAATTTAGAATCCAGCCCTATTAAAATGATAAGCTGGTCTGGTTAATTTATTAAGGATGTTTTAAAATTAAAAAGATTGTGCTAAATACTGAGACCTGCGATAAAATGAATGAAATATCTCGTTCATATATATAGGGAAAGCATGAGTATAATTAAAAGTGCTGATCCAATATTATCCATTTTTCAGTAGTGCTAAGGTCAAACGAACTTTTTACCTTACAATGAGACTTAATAGCTTACTGTTAAGTAAATATATTTCTCTGTACTTATATTTAGTTCCAAATCTAATCCGATAATCGCCAAAAGGAATATTTTTTTCATTATTTTTACTGAAAAAATTAACCGGATTAAACTTTAGGTTTAAAAATAAGTTTGTACAAGGGATATAAATATGAAATAAGATGCAATGATGTGAATCTCGATACATTCGACATAGCTATGAAAACTCACTTTTTCTTTGTTAAGTTAAGCATATATATATAGTAGAATAAAATGTTGAGATATAAAAATATGTTAAATAATTGTAATCTTAAAGCAAGCTTCTAGAACTGGCATTCAGAGAAGTCCAAGCTAAATAACTCCATTGAGTGTATTCAGCCTTTAAATTCACCAGATTTTATGGTGATTTGCTTGTATTTGATAGTTATTCACCATAGAATTGATGTTAGATATATGTGGTGAAGTTATTTTGGCTGTATATTCATTCCTATATAGCTATAAAGCTGCATTTAACTATAAGCTATAATATGAATCATTTCTGACATAAAAAGACATATACAGACACACATATATACACAAAAATGTATATATATATATATATATATATGCATGGATATAAACCGAGGTTATTATAAACAAAGCCTTGGTTTCTTCACATATAATCACCTTACAATGAGCAGGGCAAGTATGAATGGATACAAATGATATGAATGTTTTCATCCGGGCTAGATTTATTATGAAAATGTGGAGGGCTTTAGAAAGACAACAGTATTCTCTACGGCGAAATTATCAAAAATGTGTTAGCTTAGTTAATATCCTGCGGCATAGATACTGACATTTTAAGCAATCAGCTTGAAATTGAAGATATACAGTTATGCCTTTTCAGGTGAAACAAGTCCGATAACTTTATCTATTTCTGCAGAGTTAAGTTCGGGCACTGATTCTGCATTTCCCGCGACAGTATCTGCATTCTGAGTTGCCTGTCGCTGCGTAGATACCTCCAACTTTAAGGCCATTCTAACTTGTTCCACATACCAGGCTCTGTTATAGTTGATTAATCCGAGCATCAGTTGACCATCAGGATAGACCAAATCAGACCAGGTTTCCCAGAGCGGATAGATGATGAAATCAATAAAGCTGATCTATAACATTAAAATGTATTTAAATTAGAGCACCTTTGTAAGATGAAATATATCAAAATTCAACATTAATTATCAAAATAAGTTAATATTGAGAAATAAGTTATTATAAATAATACAAACTGGAAAAAAAATTCAAAAAATCAAAAGTATAACAGTTGGTTGACCCCGTTTTCGCAACTTGGATATCTCTCTACTATGTCAGCTTAACCGGAGTGCTCAGTCGTTTGTATCATGATAATTTTCAATACTACACCTGGTATTTGCTAAATTCACAGAAGTTTTGTCTGCATTGCCAATGAGCCTGGCTGTTATTAGCATACAACGATACTTCGTCAGAATAAAGTGAAGTCTGTCCTTCAACTAACTTTCTACCAAATGATTGTGATATTTCTTCTGTTCTGATACATCTACCTACCACTTCCTTGTATCACTTGTAACGCTTCTAGACTAGACATTTTTCTGGCTTGCTCTAATTATTTCACCAAGGACCTCATCATCCTCCCTATTTTTTCGATTACTTGTAATTGCTCTGCAGATCGTATGTATTTCTACTACCTTTCAGTTGACCTTATATTCTGTCATTTCTAGTTTTCTCTTTTTATTTTGCTGCCCTTTGCTTTTATGTTCGTCTATACGTATGCTAATCCAACTTCTGGTTTCTCGAAAATACTTCTGTTTACAGTCGCAGCATTTAATGAAATAACTTATCGTGAAATATTGCATGGGTTAGTTATTGAAGATGATTGATTTACTCTCGTTGTTACATGGATATTAATTTTTCTTAATGTCGATTTTGACTCACATGGGTTAGTCATATTCATATTTGTGTATCTTTGATAATTTTTAACAGATATTCGCTTTCAAGAATCAAGAAGATCGATTTGTTCAATTATTCTTGCGGAACTCTATTCCCGTTAGTTCCAGAATTCTGATAAGTATGCTGCTTTACATTTTAATCTTTAGTATGTAGCTGGGCTGAGACTATGAAAAAAAGGTTATTTCTAAGCTCGACTTCTTTATTAATAGTCTTATCTTGAGTGCTCCTGGATGAATTCGGCATACAGGAATAGTAGCGGCTTATCCGCATCCGCCTCAAATTAAGTCATCTTAATTTAGTTTCTCATAGGATTCATAGTGCAGGTTAGTGCAGGTCATTCAGGTACCACATCAGCATTTATGGAGATAGAGTCAACACGAGTAATTTCGGCCCAATAGGATAAAAATAGTAGAGAAAACCAATAGGAGGTATGATTACCTCTGAAGTAGTCAAGTATAAAGAAGTTATAATTTGTGA